ACAACCTTATTTGTCTGTTTTAGTGAGGCGTATCCCACTTGTCGAGTGATCGAAGTCTACTTGTGCTACGATGTCTCTACAGTAATCTGGATCAACACAGAGAGGTAATGTATGTAAGAAATATACAATAAATCTCTACTTAATGGGTTACCTTTTTTCCCTCATCACTTACTTTAGTATCTTGAGAATTTTATTAATACCTCTGTCTCAATTCCTAGCTCTGCCCACACACCCGCAAGGGGTGTAATCATGCTACTCCTGTGTAGTTCTGAGCCAAGATAACCATTGCACACAATGCAGTTTTATTCACATTCTTCTTTAATAATATGTTTAGCTGATTTAAACTGCTGTAATCATGTGTAAGTATTTCTGGTACTGATGCAGATCCCAGTTTAGTGTACTGAAGGTACTGATGCAGCTCACAGTCTAGTGTACTGGTGGTACTGATGCAACTCACAGTCTAGTGTACTGGTGGTACTGATGCAACTCACAGTCTCGTGTACTGGTGGTACTGATGCAGCTCACAGACAAGTGTACTGGTGGTACTGATGCAACTCACATTCTTGTGTACTGGTGGTACTGATGCAGCTCACAGACAAGTGTACTGGTGGTACTGATGCAACTCACAGTCTAGTGTACTGGTGGTACTGATGCAGCTCACAGACAAGTGTACTGGTGGTACTGATGCAACTCACAGTCTAGTGTACTGGTGGTACTGATGCAGCTCCCACTAGTACTGCTGATACTAATGTACTGGTGGTACTGATGCAACTCACAGTCTAGTGTACTAGTGGTACTGATGCAGCTCCCAGCCTAGAATACTGGTGGTACTGATGCAGCTCACATACATGTACTGGTGGTACTGTGCAACTGATGCAGTACCACTGATGCAATCAGTCCTAGTGTACTACTGGTGGTACTGATGCAGCTCCAGCCTACTGTACTGGTGGTACTGATGCAACTCACAGCCTAGTGTACTGGTGGTACTGATGCAACTCACAGCCTAGTGTACTGGTGGTACTGATGCAACTCACATACTAGTGTACTGGTGGTACTGATGCAACTCACATACTAGTGTACTGGTGGTACTGATGCAACTCACAGCCTAGTGTACTGGTGGTACTGATGCAACTCACAGCCTAGTGTACTGGTGGTACTGATGCAACTCACAGCCTAGTGTACTGGTGATACTGATGCAACTCACAGCCTAGTGTACTGGTGGTACTGATGCAACTCACCTAGTGTACTAGTGGTACTGATGTGTACTGGTGGTACTGATGCAACTCACAGCCTAGTGTACTGGTGGTACTGATGCAGGCAACAGCTTAGTATACTGGTGGTACTGATACAACTCCCAGCCTAGTGTACAGTTGTTACTGATGCAGCCAACAGCCTAGTATACTGGTGGTACTGATACAGCCTAGGTATACTGGTGGTACTGATGCAGCCAACAGCCTAATATACTGGGGATACTGATACAACTCCCAGCCTAGTGTACTGGTGGTACTGATGAAGCCAACAGCCTAGTATACTGGTGGTACTGATGCAACTCGCATACTAGTGTACTGGTGTACTGATGGCTTAGTGGTACTGATTGAACTCCAACTAGTGCCTACTGATTAAGCCAACAGCCTAGTATACTGGTGGTACTGATGCAACTCACATACTAGTGTACTGGTGGTACTGATGCAGCCAACAGCCTACTATACTGGTGGTACTGATGCAACTCACATACTAGTGTACTTGTGGTACTGATGCAACTCACAGCCTAGTGTACTGGTGGTACTGATGCAACTCACAGCCTAGTGTACTGGTGGTGCTGATGCAACTCACAGCCTAGTGTACTGGTGGTACTGATGCAACTCACAGCCTAGTGTACTGGTGGTACTGATGCAACTCACAGCCTAGTGTACTGGTGGTACTGATGCAGCCAACAGCCTAGTGTACTGGTGATACTGATGCAGCTTACAGGCAAACATAAAGTGTTAAACAAATCTGCCGCAGGATCAACAGGTAGGTAAAGTTATACAGGGGGAGCTGAGAAAAATAAAAACGTCTGGGTAATTACTGGTGACATACTGCATCCAGCATGTCATTTTGAATTTTGCACGGAGTTCACCTTAGGCAACTTGTGCTAGTGACTAGGGATGTACCAATACTGATACCGGTATCGGTGCTGATACCGAGTATTTTCAGGAGAAACCGATACTTTGTGGTGCGATTTGCATCAATACAAATTGCAAAGAATAGCATACAATTTGAATAGGAATGATATACCTGTCCAAATCGCATGCGGTTTCCCCACTTGTCATAGCCTGAGTTCACCCAGGAGCGGTGCTGGAAACCTCCCTGCACCGATCCCATGCTGAGCTGAGAGTGGCAGAGAAGGCGTGTGGGGATGAATACCTTGGTAGCAGATGCTCTGAATTCTCAGCTGTAGCAGAGGAGAGAAAGCCGCGGGGATTTTAAATCCCCACGGCTTTCTCTCCTCTCCTTGTAATGATGACAGTCCGGGCTAGAGGACTTTGGTCAGCTCCATCACATAGATGGTGCTAACCAGTCAGGAGCTGTCTAGCCCATACTGTCTTCCCTGCAAGGAGAGGAGAAAAAAGCCGTGGATTTCAAATCCCCAAACCTGTAAAGCCGCTTTCTCTCCTCTCCTTGCAGGGATGACAGTATGGCTTGATGGCTTCTGATTGGTCAGCACCGTCCATGTAGGAGTTGTCAGACCTCTGCAGAAAGAGCAAGAGTTCCTTGCTTTATATTAGCAGAGGACAGGCTTTTCTACTCAATCTGTAGCTGCTTTCCCAACAAAAAAACAAACTCTGAGACTTTTTTTCTTTTTTATCTCATCCCCAGGAGGAAAGCTGAAAAGAGTCTGGGTTATTACAATGATCTCCTCAACAAAACTGGAGTGCATGCATTAATAAACCCAAAGCCTTGTGGGCAGTTCTGCTGCTGTGTGGTGTCCGGGTGTGAGAGGGTATGTACAGAGATTTTTTCTTAATTTTTTCATTTAAGGGGGTCCATCCTTTCAAAATTATTATTTTAGATTTGGATGGAATCTAGCAAGGTGAACATCCTACTGACTTGTTATATGTGTTTCCTTTAGAAAAGATCGAACTGTATCTTCTTTACCTACATATTTTTGGTGCATATCATTTTTACCTATATTATAAAGTGCCTTGAAAAAGTATTCATACCCCTTGAAATTTTCCACATTTTGTCATGTTACAACCAAAACATAAATGTATTTTATTAGGATTTTATGTGATAGACCAACACAAAGTGGCATATAATTGTGAAGTGGAAGGAAAATGATAAACGGTATTCAAAATCTATTACAAAAGTGTGCCGTGCATTTGTATTCAGCCCCCAGAGTCAATATTTTGTAGAACCACCTTTTGCTGCAATTCCATCTGCAAGTCTTTTTGTGGATGTCTCTACCAGCTTTGCACATCTAGAGAGAGACATTTTTGCCCATTCTTCTTTGCAAAATAGCTTAAGCTCTGTCAGATTGGATGGGGAGCGCCTGTGAACAGCAATTTTCAAGTCTTGCCACAGATTCTCAATTGGATTTAGGTCTGGACTTTGGGCCATTCTAACACATGAATATTCTTTGATCTAAACCATTCCATTGTAGCTCTGGCTGTATGTTTAGGGTTGTCGTCCTGCTGGAAGGTGAACCTCCACTCCAGTCTCAAGTCTTTGCAGACTCTAACAGGTTTTCTTCTACAATTGCCCTGTATTTGGCTCCATCCATCTTCCCATCAACTCTGACCAGCTTCGCTGTCCCTGCTGAAGAAAAGCATCCCCATAACATGATGCTGCCACCACCATGTTTCACTATGGAGATAGTGTGTTCGGGGTGATGTGCATTGTTTTCGCCACACATAGCTTTTTTTCTTTTAGGCCAAAAAGTTTAATTTTGGCCTCATCTGACCAGAGCACCTTCTTCCACATGTTTGCTGTGTTCCCCACATGGCTTCCCGCAAACTGCAGATGGGACTTTTTATGGATTTCTTTCAACAATGGCTTTCTTCTTGCCGCTCTTCCATAAAGGCCAGATTTGTGCAGTACACGACTAATAGTTGTCCTGTGCACAGATTCTCCCACCTGAGCTGTGGACCCTGGCTATTCCTATGACACTGCTCCTGTCTCTTTCCCTGGCTACCTGGCTTGCTCTGGTGCACGCCTGGCGATCTACAAAACTCTGCTTGTTACTACTGTGCCTGAATCAGAAGATCATCAGTCTTCCAAGGTCATCATCTGCAAGAGTTGCAAACAAAAGCTTGAAAGAAGTCAGTTTCTGCTGTAATTTCTCTTTAGAAAACTCATACTACTCTGTGATATACTGTATGACCAACAGTCTGTGAATGCCAGACCATCACACCTATATGAGCTTGTGTAACATCTCATTTCAAATTCATGGGCTTTATTATGGAGTGATCCTTTGCAGCTATAACAGCCACCACTGTTATGGGAATGTTTTTCCCAAGAGTTCAGAGTGTGTCTTTGGGAATTTGTGCCCATTCAGCCTAAACAGAATTTGTGAAGACGGGTGCTGATGTTCCACAAGAAGACTCTCTCTCTCAATTGGTATTCCAATTCATCCCAAACGTGTTTGGTAGGGTTGAGGTCAGAGCTGTGTGCAGGCCACTCAAGTTCCTCCACATCAGCTCATCACACTATGTCTATGGATCTGGTTTTGAATACTGAACTTCATAATCTGGAGGGGTACCCACATATTTGTGGAAATAAATGTGTACATGTGTCATGGTTTAACCTCATATTACATGTTTATTTGTAAAATAAAGATTGTACATAAATATTTGGAAAAATTAATGCACATCATTCAGCTTTGTATCTACAGCAAGATACACTTAATAATCTTTGGAACAATTGATGTCTATAATGCTATGCCTTTTCCACATAGGAGGACGCTATTGAATATTACACAAGAATGAGAGATACGCTGCTGGAAGAATACACAGAAAATATGGAGATAGTACGAAATGCGCCACTTGGTATGGCCTTCATCACATTCTCTGACAAGTCAATGGCAACTTTGTAAGTATTTTACACATTGCATGCAAAACATGTTGGAAATTAAGAGAGTTGTTTGTGATTGATCAGTCTCAACTTACAAATTTATGTTTCTGCCTTAAAAATGATAATTCTCTGCTTGCCTTATTTATCCAAAATGTAAAAATTTTTCATTTCCATATTGTAACTTTTGTTGAAACCTTGTTTTTTTTATCCTTAGTATCCTGAAAGATTTCAATGCTGTCAAGTGTCACGGATACAAATGTTCCACCCAGCCCCAACCATCAAGTCTTAGCAGTCAGCTTTCTGCCTTGCAGTGGTCTGTCTCCTATGCCACCTACCCAGAGAATATCTCCTGGTACGTTGAATTTTATAAATGACAGACACGCCTGCTGTACTCTGAAAGATCCAGAAACAGTTGTAATCCTTGGAATCTGAGCACACAATTCAGCTACTCTGGCAGCCTCTCCACTTTAGGTGGTTCAAGCACAACAATAAATTACCCACGAACAAACCAGCAAATAGTGAAATACCAACCAAATTTAACCAGTAAAAACAACCTGCATTTAATCCCGAAGTGTTTCATCAGAAATATGACTTCCATTAAGCGGTAGTAAACCCTGCTTGATTGCTTGTAGCTACAGGGAAGCTTATAATAAGGCGTGCAATACAAGTGCACTGTTTAAGATATAGTCACTATTTCTGCAGCTGGTGACATCACCCCCATATACGCACTGCGCTCTCGAACGGCATACGAAGTATGCTGTCCATTCAGAGTGCTGTGCTGCCATCGTGTTTCCCATGTGCATGTGTGGGAGTGACATCATGGCTCAGCCATTCAAATGGCCGGAGTCCATGAACACAGAAGGAAGACCGGGGTGAAGATAGAAGCCCTGCCAGCAGTGACAGCACGCCGCTAGAGGGCTTCGTTTTAAGGTAAGTGTTTCATTGTGTGCTAGTATGTGATGCATACAAGAACATTGTGCCATTGCTTTGCTGGGGGAAGATTTCTTTTTTTTTTTTTCCCCCAGCATTTACTTGCGCTTTTAGGTCTAAAAAGCTAGAAAGTTGTATTGCTCTGTACGATGCTTAGCATCTCTTGATGATTTTGCAATAAAGTGTAATAGTCAATGTGGAATTTGTAAGCCTGTATTTTGAGCCTTTTTATCCTCGCGGTTTCTTTTTTTAGGGAGAATATGTCGGTGAGTGGAGTGAGGTGGTGGGCCCGTTTCATTGGCATTAATTTTACCCTCTTCATCGTGCTGTTCTTCCTAACAACACCATCAATTATTATTACTACAATGGACAAGTTCAATGTCACAAAACCCATCTACTACCTGAATGTAAGTAATGGCTAATAGCAGCTCAGCCTGGGATTTAATACATGGCTTAAAATAGATAAATTCCATAAAAAAATAATTGTCTTAATTCAGTTCTTTACTTTAACCCCTCCCTCCTCCTCTGCCTCCCCAGCAGCAAACCTTTCCTTCATTTTCCCGCCGCTCTATTTAGAGTTCGGTACTGAAGGAAGTTCACAGTACTTGGGGGTATGGAGAAGCATGTGACTCACTCCACTTGACAGTGCTGGGCCAATTACCATTGTCACATGTGTAAGCTTTAAACTGCACCTCTTTGTTTACATAGGACTTTTTGTTAGGTTTTGGGTCTGTACAGAGAAGGGGGGTTTTGGGGGGTGGAGGAAGTAAAGGATGTGGATCTGTTGAGGTCTGCAATAAGAAGAACAGTTGATGGGCACTGCAAGGGTGGAGTTGGACTTTAAAAAGAGGAAAACTGGTAATAATTACAGAGCGTAGGCCCCTGGCTGCATCAGCTTGCAGTTCCTCCACAATGTCCTAATCCCTGGGATTTTCAGTTCTGGCAACATTTTTTCAGTACCAGTGTCACCAGTGTATGGCATTAGACTATCTTGATGTGTGACTCCTCCGACAGTTATGTATTGTTACTGAATCTCTAAACAGGACTCATAATGGTGACATTTCATTTACGTCTTTAGAGAAATGATTGGATGATGGTGCCCACAGTGCTTACCATTGATAAACATCAGTTAGCATAACCTCCATTACATTGTTTGTTTTTCTGCAGAATCCGGTTATCAGCCAGTTCTTCCCAACATTGCTGCTGTGGTCGTTCTCTGCTCTGCTGCCTACACTCGTCTATTACTCCACTCTCTTTGAGGCTCACTGGACAAAGTAAGATGTTCCATTTTTTTGTCATTTTTAAGTACCTGCTATCAGATTTATAGATTTTTTTTTTTCCAAGTTAACCTGTTTAAATGTCATTAAGCCTGGTAGCATGAAAAAAATGTGGGCCTCAGAGGTGTATGCGTGTATCTTTTTAGACTTTTTCAGGAGGATAATAATATCCTCCAAACTTAGGCACTCTTTGGTGACCATTTACACTTCTGCTTGTGAACTTTATGCTTTAGTCACTGTTGGCCTATTACTATAATGGGAGGTTCTACCAATAGTGAGGGTTGGAAAGTGGGAGGGGGGTGGCTAGTGCTCGACTTTACCAGCATAATTTGCAAAAGAGTTCCCTGGGTATCGGGGTTCTCTGAAAAGATTTACATTCAGACAGAGATGACTGCATGGTTTTCATGTTGCCAGTTTAAAGTATAAGTAAAGGCAAAACTTTTTTTTTTAGTTGTGAATAGAGTGCATAAGGATTAGAACGCCTGTTAGATTAGATTTCTATCTGTGGCCCATTAGGGAGATTTACCCTCTCTATTTCTCCTATTGGAGACATTAGTTCTGGAGACCTGGGGGTCCCTTAGAAATTCCAATAATTTGCAGGGATTTACTCACATCCTGTTTGGCTATGGGATGGGAAGTGAAGGGAAGTCCCTGCAATGGGATATAGATAGCAAAAAAAAAAAGAAAAACTCTCCCTTGCTCTATCCAAAATGAAAAAAATTTTTTGCCTATAGTTCTACTTTAATTACATTAAATAGATAACTGGTATACTGCAGTCAAAAAGAATTGTACTCAATGGGACACAAATTGAGAAAAATTAATGTACATGGGTTTTAACCTTGCCAACTCTATTCAAAAAAAGTATTGGATATATATATATAACTAATGTACAGTACCAAGCTATTGAGCAGGTTGGTACAGAAAGCATTGTACTATTCACATCAGTCCCTACCTGTTTAGGTCCCTGCCCCATTTACAGGGCTCTTATAGACATGAGCTCTGGGTTGAATACCAAAGTCCACATTTACTGGTCTTGTCTGCCAGTCACTCCTGGGAAGAATGTTTGTTTTTTAATGGGCAGCATAAAAATATAATGTGGCTGTTCGCTATTCCTTGCTGGTAAGGCAGGCCAGAAATAGGTGTCTGCTTCTCCTTCAATATATGCATAAAATTGAACACTCTGCCAAGCCAAACATTCCTGTTTATGAAAAGGCCAGTTGCTGGACTTGGCAAGTGGTTTGTGTCTTCATATCTGATCACCCTCTTGTGTCTGTGGCTGACTGCTCATAGGTTGGGGGGACAGGGGGATGTGGTCAGCTTTGGGCAAAAGCTAAATAACTTAAGTCATTTTATTTGGTAGCCGTTAGAAATCAGACGAATGCATAAGACTAACGCAGGTGGAACATACAATCCCCATGCAAATCTGTACTGTTAGAAACTGAATTTAGTGCTCGGTCTGACAACACTTTTTGGTTTAAGTGCACACACTCTACTTATGTATTTCAGTATTTTTCCAGACATGAGATGCATCTGCAGGAGCTTAAAAAATGTGTGAGAGTTCAAATAACTGAGGTCAAACTTTTTTTTTTATGTTGACATTTTGATTTCTTGATCTACTTACTACTCTACCAACCTGTGTTACAGATCTGCAGAAAACAAAATTATGATGCACAAAGTATACACCTTCCTGATATTCATGGTCCTAATTTTGCCATCGCTTGGCCTCACCAGGTTAGCATTATCTGTCATGTCTTCCTGGGGTATGTGTGTCTTTCTAACTTTCCCTGAGCGGCACATTTCTTGTTGTCCTGCATTCTGTCCTATTGTGCCTGCCTGGTCTGCAGTCTTTGTGATTGCCTGCACTTTTGTCTTGTCCTGTCTCCTTCCTTCCTGCCCTGTGTTCTGTTCTACTGTGCCTGCCTTCTTTGTATCTTGTACTCTTATTCACTTGTCCAGCCACCCTCCTTCCTGCCCTGTGTTCTGTTCTGCTGTGCCTGCCTTCTTTGTCTTTGTATCTTGTACTCTTATTCACTTGTCCAGCCACCCTCCTTCCTGTCCTGTGTTCTGTACTACTGTGCGCCTTCTTTGTCTTTGTATCTTGTACTCTTATTTACTTGTCCAGCCACCCTCCTTCCTGTCCTGTGTTCTGTACTACTGTGCCGCCTTCTTTGTCTTTGTATCTTGTACTCTTATTCACTTGTCCTGTCTCCCTCTTTCCTGTATGTTTTGTCATATTATTCCTAACGGTCGCCTCTGCTGCTCCGTTTGCTCACTTGAGTTTCCTCTCCACTTCCCTTCCTCTTGTCTGCCTCCATCAGGACTTTAATTCTTTCTTTCTGGCTGCCTTAATGTCCAATCACCAAATCCCTGCCTGATCTGTCCTTTTCAGACTTCAGACCTCCTGACTTGCCTCACAGTTGGCCTGCTTGCTTGCCCTTTCTTCATTGCCTGCCCTTCCCTCTAACTGCTTGCCTGTTCGATCTTCTCAGTGATTCCCTTCTGTGGCTAATAGTAATATGGGACCAGACAAAATTCAATCAGTGTATGGCCATCCCTGCTTGATAGAAGTTGATCATTAGAGGACAATGGAATAGTTGAAAACTTTTCAGGTTTTATACTTTACATCAAACAGCTCTTGCAACCCATTAATATGTCAAAGCAATATAAAAGATAAATGTGCTAATTAGAAGAGAATTTCTTTTTCTATATCATACATCTGTATATGTGCAAAGTCCAAAAGAAATTAGTTCAGCTTCTTTAACCCCTTCACGCCTAAGGGTAAAATAAATCTAAATGCCTAAGCACAATTTTGCAACGTTGACATGTGTTAGTAAAACCATACATATCATCACAACTACTTTGTACATCCAGGTGAAATATATCTGTTTTTTTTTCCAGGACAAATTGGGCATTCATTTGGTGGTAAATGATCATGGATATCTCCCTGATTTTTTTTTTTTCATTATCAAAGGCAAACTGGCCCAAAATAAGTAAAGAAAAAAATCATTTTTTTTTAATGTAGCTGTGTGTTTCTTGTTACTACTATAACCTACCACCAAAGAACAACCCAGAATAAATTTTCCAGCTCTTGACGATCGCAGTGATATCATATATGTGTATGTTATTTGTTGTTTGTGCATTATTGTTTCTGGGCTGTACTACTGGTACATTGTTTTTTTTTTTTGTTTTTTTTTTTTTTTAATCTAAAACACATTGACACTAACTGACACTGATACCAATTTTTTTTTTTTTTTTAAATCCTGACCTTTGACCCAAACACTAACCATGGCACTGAACTAGATCAAACCTTGATCTGGGTATTTTTCTTTATTTTTTAATATTTATTTATCTTGTTTGTAAAAAAAAAGAAAAAAATTTTTTTTTCCCCCTCTATGCCAGGAGTTAGAGAGATACAATGTATCTCTCTTCTCCATTCATAGAGAGAGAAAAAAACAAGGGGGCTGGGCTGTACAGTGACTGATCACAGTCACAGCCAGTCAGAGGCTATCACAGTGATCACCTGACCCGGAATCAGGAGTCCCGGGTCCCAATCATTAGAACGGGACCTGGTGCTCTCAGTGACACAGCGGTCTTTGTGCTGGGAGCGCCCCAGCACAAAGACAGGTACGCAGATATGTGGCCCCACGGAAAAAAGCCCAGTTCTGTGAGGCTGCATATTTGTGTTACGTCGGCATCAAGGGGTTAACAAAGTCCAACGATAAATGAAAGTCCATGGAAAGTGGAAAGAGTGCTTGTATCCAGAAACACCACTTGTTAATATTTCACCACGTGTACTTGTAAACAATCTGCACTCACCAGTTTACAATGACTCCCTTGTTTTCTAACAAGAAAAGTCAGACTTGTGGTCACAAAAAGACCAGATCGAATCTTCTATTTGGCACCATGTGTGAATGTCATCTCCTTATCAACAGGCCGAACGATACTCCAATGGCTCGGATGACAGGTAATCCAAAAGGAGAAGAGGGATCCTCTCTTAGAGTGAAAACTGCTTGTTTATTTGATAAAAATAGCTGACATGAAAAGTAATATTGCAAAAAAACATACAGGCAATCCTATCTCCCGTCCGTTCTGAAGCCGCCAATTCCTCAGCGTGTGTTCCAAATTGGATCAGAAGTGATGCATCGGAAATTCCAATTGACGCGTTTCTTAATACATGACATCTTCTGAGGAGCTGCACTAATTTCTTTTGGACTTTGCACATATATAGATGTATGGTATAGAAAAAGAGGAATTCTTTTCAAAGTAGCACATTGCAAGCGCTGTCTGATGTATATGGCTTGATAAGATCTTTGAGATATGAGATAGCAGCTGCATTTACATTCACGTGTTTATTTGGCACAGGCGGTTATTTACACATTAGTTGAAAACCTTTGTCTAGCAGGGGCCGCAGCCACTGATCAATGTATTTTGACAGGTATAGTTCTCACAGTCAGAATACAATGTTCTGACCTGGGGGGATTCCGCCATCCACTTTGTGTGGATGAAGGGATCTGGGGTTTTTTTTTTCATTTTTGGACACTGCTAGACTTTCCTTGCTCAGCCTGCATGTTGAATGAGAAAAAAAAGTTAATAAACTCTCCCATTCATGCTAAACAGCGTGGATGGAGTAATCTCCACTTCTGTCTGCTGTATTTAGCAGCCGCGGCTGAATACCTGAACAGCGATTGTAAGTGATAGGATGCAGTCACAGATTTTCCACCTAGCACAGTTGGTTTTTAAATTTGACTTTTGTCAAACCCGGTGGTATTTGCAGGGGCACCCATGGCTCCAATTTGGGCCGATTCCTGTTGAATCTGCTGTATTTCGAGCCGAGACATTATATGCAAGGCATAGATAATGTTTCATGTACCTCCCCAGACTATGACATGCTGTAATGTATTGTGCAAATGTTTTTGCCTCCTCCTTTAGCAGAGGAAGAGCAGAACTTTCCCTTTTGGGTGAAGTTCTGCTTTACACTAAGTTTTTGGAATTTTCAGTGGAGAGGGTGCTGGTATATTGTTCCAAGGCTTGTGATTTGGCCATTCTGCCTCCCCTGTCCTTTCTGTCTTCTCCATCTTTAACTGCATTGTTTTGTCAGTTTTACCTTCACTACCTGTCCTGCTGTCTGGACAGTCTGACTCCCCCCCCATCCATCACCTTCCCAACCTGATCACAGTATAAGTACTCCACTATCCCTTTTAATTTGCCTTCCTTGCTGTGTCTGCGATGCATTAGGTCCATGTTCGTCTATGGTCAATGTATTTACAGAGGATTCTGTCTCTTTACAGCTTAGATGTCTTCTTCCGATGGCTGTTTGACAAGACCCTGGATGGTCCCTTCAGGCTGGAGTAAGTATGGGCTACGTCAACATTTCCACCATATAATATAAAGTTGAGAGCTACTGATCTTCAGGGATTTGTTTCTAAACCCAATAACAAAAGTGTAATATATTGCAGCTTGACATTCCCTACATAAGGTGGCTGCATTTTTTTTTTTCCTTTATTTTCATCTAGTGATCCTGCCAGTAACACACATCCTGTCCTATGGTAAAATCATTCCCTCATTGTATTATACAAGGGTTTCCACACTTTTTTTTTTTTTTTTTTACATATAAATATATTTATAAAAGTGCAGAAACATTTTGAAGAACCCTTGTATCTTTAGAGGAGCAGCATTGTCACCCTAGGACAGGAAGGACTACAGAATATCCCCTTCTCCTCATCTACATACCATAGGAGGTGGTGTTCTGTAGTCCACAGAAATATCTGGACAGGGTTGATAACACTAAAGCAAAAAGCTCACCAGATTTCCGACAGGTTCAGCAGTATTTTGTGCAGTAATTGAAGAGATGTAACAAAAGACTTTGAACGTTAAATTACAAGACCAAATGAGGATTGGCTGTGTGTTTATTGTCATGTGTTTATTGCTGTCTGTGTCCCAGCTTGGGATATTTAAAGGGAAATTTTACTTTCATGGGAAAAAAATAGAGCAAAAAAAATTCAGCATATACAATTGATACGAGCCATATTGTATTTTAAAGTGTTACTAAACCCACAACAGTAACATCAGTCTGTATATGCAGTAAATCATTGCTAGAGAGGTTAGTTTTTTTTTTTTGGGAGAGTGCATGTGCTCTGCACAGGGCCAATCAGCACTGTGCAGACAGAAGTTAGGGGTCCTGCATCCTCTTAGAGCAAAATGAAAACTCCTCCTACAAGCTTTAACCAGTGCTGGGCTGGACACTGATAAAAGTCACAAGACTGTTCTAACTGCTGATGAAAAAAGGTATTTAGTAGTTTATATTTATGAAAATAATTGCACTTCCATGTTGTGTGTACTGTGGGAGACCAGATATAGTGAATGCAGGGTCCGGGGTTTAGTAACACTTTAATATTAAAATTTGACCTGCGGCATTGTCACTTTCTGTAAAATTCAAAGCAATATGGCACCTTGGAGGCCGCCTGTACACAGATGGTTTACAGAACTTCCCATGAAATGTCATTCCTTCTTTTGTGATTGGTGCACTGATTTTTTAAAAAATTATTACTAAACCCAGGACTCTGCATTCACTATATCTGGTCTCCCACTGTACACACAACATGGAAGTGTATTTATTTTAGTAAATATAAACTTATAAATACCTATGCTCATCAGCAGTTGGAGCAGTCTTGTGACTTCTATCCGTGTCCAGCTGAGCACATATTAAAGCTTGTAGGAGGAGTTTTCATTTTACTGTAGGAGGATGCAGGAGCCCTGACCTCTGTCTGGACAGTGCTGATTGGCCGTGTGCTGCTGATCACATACACTCTCCCAAGACAAAAAAAACCTTTCTAGCAATACACACAAAACTGAGCATGTGCAGAGTGACTCCACACGATATGTCTTATCAGGAGATAAAAGGGGGACACTGGAAGGAGGGGAGGATCAGAAAAGTAAGGATCAAACCGTGTGTTTTTACACAATACAGAGGACTAACTCCTTAGGTTCCATACGGAGTATAACAAGCATGCTTTACTACATATACAGGCTGATTGTACTGTTGTGGATTTAGTAACACTTTAATCAGCAAAGAGTTTATTAGAAAAGAGTTTATTGGACTTTTTTATCATTCAATATTTTTATTGAAAAATTGGTATACACAGAAATAGAAACATTACCCACCTACATGGTGAGATGGGGTGAATATACATATTCATAAAATATATAGGCACCTGAAAAAACATTAGTCGATGATGTTGTAAATAGGAAACACCATCCCCACAGGGTAGCAAATGTTCCATCAGTCAGTAAACATAGGCAGTTCTATATAGATTTACCAACAATAAGAAAACCAAAAAAGAAGAAAGGATTAAAAATAGAAAAATCGAAAAAGGATCAGGATAAGTCAGAAAAGAAGGGGGGAGAAGAGAAAAAAAAAAGGAGAGAGGGTCAGCCATAGTACTATTAAGTAATAGAGATATATCTGATCCATGGTTCCCACGTCACCTCAAATCTAGAAGCATCATTATTGAACTTGGACTTTTTTAAACAAGAAAATTATAGTAACCGTAGAGGGGCTTCCACTGATTAATAATGAAAAAGTCCATCCCATTCAGATTCACTGTACACACAAACAGCTATTTCTTCTGAGCAGAAACAAGTAGGATTCTGCAACAATGATGTTTATAAATACCCTGCAATGTACATAGTTCACCCAGAGAGGCTTGTGTGCATGTGTGTATATACAGCGGGTGAAATGAGTATTGAACACGTCACCATTTTTCTCAGTAAATATATTTCTAAAGGTACTATTGACATTAAATTTTCACCACATGTCGGTAACAACCCATGCTATCCATACATACAAAGAAACCAAAACAAATAACTTAATAAATTAAGTTATGTGTAATAAAATGGAATGACGCAGGGAAAAAGTATTGAACACGCTAACTGAAATTTATTTAATACTTCATACAAAATCCTTTGTTGGTAATGACAGCTTCAGCATACCTCCTGTATGGAGAAACTAGTTGCATGTATTGCTCAGGTGTGAGTTTGGCCCATTCTTCCACACAAACAGTCTTCAAATCTTGAAGGTTCCATGGGCCTCTCCTTTTGGACTCTGATCTTTAGTTCTTTCCATAGATTCCTATTGGATTCAAGTCAGGTGATTGGCTGGGCCATTCTAGCAGCTTTATTCTCTTTCTTTGAAACCAACTGAGGGTTTCCTTGGCTTTGTGTTTGGGATCATTGTCTTGCTGAAATTTCCACCCTCATTTTATCTTCATCATTCTGGGAGATGGCAGCAGGCTTTTATCAAGAATGTCTTGATGCAATTTCCCATTCATCCTTCCTTCAATGACATGACGTTTGCCAGTACTGTATGCTGAAAAGCAGCCCCACACCATGATGTTCCCACCTGCAAACGGCACTGTTAGTATGATGTTTTTCTAGTGATGTGCAGTGCCATTTGACCTCCAAACACGGTGTGTATTATGACATCCAAAGAGTTCAATTTTGGTCTCATCTGACCAGACTATATTCTCCCAGTATTTCACAGGCTTGTCTAAATGTCGTGCAGCAAACTTTAAATGAGCTTCAACATGCTTTTTCTTCAGCAGTGGAGTTTTGCGTGGTGAGCATGCATACAGGCCATGGCGGTTGAGTGCATTACTTATTGTTTTCTTTGAAACAATTGTACCTGCTAATTCCATGTCTTTCTGAAGCTCTCGACAAGTGGTCCTTGGCTCTTGGACATCTTTTCCGTCAATTCTTTTCACTCCTCTGTCAGAAATATTGTGAGGATCACGTGGTGGTAGTGGCGGGTTTATAGTGAAATTATGTTTTCATTTCCAGATTATGGCCCCAACAGTGCTCACTAGAACATTCAGAAGTTTAGAAATCCTATGTTTTGCAACAATAAGGTTGCGAAGGTCTTGAGAGAGCTCTTTGCTTTTACCCATCATGAGATGTTTCTTCTGTGACGCCTTGGTAATGAGACACCTTTTTTATAGGCCATCAGTTGAGACTGGACCAGCTGATATTAATTTGCAATGACAAAGGTCAGGATTGTGTTCTAATTACTTATAGATTTCAGCTGGTGTCTTGGCTTTTGTGGATTGCATGGGCTGTCCCCAACATGTGGTGAAAATTTTCATGTCAAAAGCACCTTTAGAAATATATTTACCTAGAAAAATGGTGATGTGTTCAATACTGATCTTACTCGTAGTATGTGTGTGTGTGTACGTGTTCTTATTATATTATGATTTATTGTTACAAAAATTGAGTTGCAAAAGGCAAAGAAAATCCTCCAAAGGTTATACCTGTTCCTGTGACTACTCTTTAAGATAGGAATTCTGTTCAGTTTGCTTTTGCAGCTAAGCAAAGCTGTTGTACCCAAGACGAGCAAAAAAAAAATAAACTGATAAAGAGTTGTAACCCATCCTCACTTTATCAAAAAAACTAAAAAAAAAAATTGGCTTCACATTTATTTTGACTCCTGTAGCCTGTAATGGATTCTTGAAACATCATCTGGCCACATAGCGATGTTATATAACATTCTGTGCAAGTATGTGAACCTCAGGGGTGGACTGACCATTCGAGCACTCGGGCACTGCCCGACGGCCTGGGGTTAGTAGGGGGCCCCATGAAATGCCCCTGGTACCTTTTATTATTATTTATTATTATTATAGGCTTTTTTGGCTGTGCTTTGAATGTGGGCAAGGACACAGGGGCCCCATGATCTCCTATTGCCCGGGGGCCCCATGAGTTGTCAGTCCACCCCTGGTGAACCTTTGCATTCATTTGTAGCAAGCAAAACAACATTTGCTATATAATTATTTTTGCATTTCAGGTGTGTATTTCTTCCTGACCAGGGGGCTTTCTTTGTCAACTACGTTATCGCCTCTGCCTTTATCGGGAATGGGCTGGAGTTGATGAGGCTTCCAGGACTGATATTGTACACCATACGCATGATTATGGCCAAGTCTGCTGCTGAAAGGCAGAATATTAAACAGGTACAACAGAATATTAGGTGTGAAAGACACAGGATAAACGAAATAGGAGAGAAAAGCTGGCCATGCATTATACAATTTTCTTGAACAATTTCTGTACAATCTCCTTTAGATTTACCTTCAACTATGTCGTGGAAGGGCCTATCTGATTGGATATAAATTGAAAGTGCTGTTTAGGTTTAACTTCATATTATGTGGTTTTTGGTATATCTAAAGAAAAATTGTGCAAGAAAGTTGTATAAGGTATGGCCTTATTAATCTGCCATAAAAATATATCTTTTGTAAAAATAATACTTCTTAACAGGAAAATTATAATGTATAATATATTAAATCCACGCCAGAGAGTCACGTTCAGCCAACATCACCAAAAATAAATCGGTTGTAAAGTTCCACAAAGCTGCTAGATTGATCCTCCCCCACCCCATATATATATATATTTATATTTTATAATGGTCTGAGGTTTAAAGTTTATACAATTTTAAAGAGGTGGTAACTGATGATTTATAGCTGAATGAAAACCTCAGTCAAGGTAGAATAGAATCTGGGGATTTGGGGATTTTTTTCAATAGGAGGGTAAAGAGGAAACTAAAACACAGTGAAAAGGAGCCTCAAGCTGTACCTGCTGTTTTAGGAGTGAGAATACACTATATATTAATATATTTTTTTTTTCTAGTTTCAGATTAAAATTAAAATGTTTTTCTTTAGTAGCTTAAGGGAAGGCTAGAATCTGTTAGATTTTTATGTGTCCCTGTTGCAGATTTTTCCAACTTCCTGTCTGGTGAATCTATTGTCAGAACAAGAAGTCAGGGTAAATCTCTCTAAAGCTGGCCATAGAGAGATTTGGAAGTAGACCGGTCCACCAAGGACCAGCTGAGATTTGATTCGTGTTGACCATCACTGCTTGGCAGAAGTTGATTGTTTTGAGGGACATGCTGGAAAACTTTTATTGATCAGCGGCTGATCAGTGTATCCTGATGGCGCCAAGTCCTGCTGTCAGAATACAATGTTTTTGGCTTGACATATACTTTTTTAGGCATATGAGGAATCATCCTTGTTCCCCCACAGCCATTAGGTCTTATATTTCACTTTCCTTTTGTCAAGTGCAAATGAGAAAACGGTTTCTTTGCAATCTTCTCTCAGTATTTTATTTTTTTCTGTTGGTTAAACACAATAGAAAGGTGTCTGTTTTTTTTCTTAATCTGATGTGGCATGGCTTGTGAGTGTGATTGACACGTCTTCTTTCTTAGCACCAGGCTTATGAATTTCAGTTCGGAGCGATGTACGCTGGGATGCTTTGTGTTTTCACAGTCATCATGGCTTACAGCATCACATGCCCCATTATTATGCCTTTTGGTAAGTACTAGTTTTTAGAGATCTGCAGGGCTGGACGAGTCCCATGAGTCAAGCCAGTCATATCACAGCAAATATTTCAGTGCTCTTTGTTCCCTGGTTCCTAGAGGGGCCAATCTCCTACGAGTGGATTCCAATGTGCATTAAAAATTAAAATTATATAGTGAAGCGCTTAAATTCTATACAAAATTATACTAAAATGCATTAAATTACAAGTGCAAAAAAACTTTAAATCATATCAGCATCATGTGCAATAACATTTCCTCCCAGCAGGGAGAGTAAAAATCAGATTTTAAAATTAACACAAACATCTATTGTGAAATAACACACACAGTGATGTGCCTATAAAATATATATGTGTTCAACATGAACTAAAAGTGCATATATTACAAATGCAAACTGATAGACAAACCACAAATAAGTTTTTTTGCACTTGTAATTTAATGCATTTTTGTATACTTTTGTATAGGATTTAAGCGCTTCACTATATAATTTTAATTGTGATTACACTCGGTGGTTAAAAGAGCTGAGTGACAGCAGCTAAAATAATAAGGTTTTACGTCCATTAAGCGCAGAAGGATTTCCCTTTAATTCCAATGTGCATTGTCTTCCTGTGTAAAACTGGCCATAGATTGATCAAATCTTGTCCGGTTCAACAGGGACCAACCGAGATTCAATCCATCTATGGGCAGATTGGTTGTACTGTAATCAATCCATCGATTGATTTCAGGTTTTTCTCAGGCGATCACTGCTGGCAGAAGTCTCCCCGCTAGCAGAATACAATAGCGCTGCGGGAGGCATTCCCCCATAAACACTGACACTGTTGATGAGGAAATAAAGCAATTTTCTTTCCTGCAACCTGTGGTTGCAGGAAAGAAAATTGTATAATGTATGGTCTGCTTAATGTGTGTGGAAATAGCTCACTTGTAGCCACTCTGTCACCCAAGTGCAGGAGCATTTTTAGGAGACAAGGGAAGAGCATTGTCTCCGTATACTAGAAAGTGCCTAAACAAAGACTTTTGGCAGGATCACCAGGAATCCTTTTTATTGAAAGCTGCAGATTTAAATGTACTGAAAATTACTTTTGAAATTACATTAACATGGTAAAGCTTATATGGGATTTTGTTTATTGGCTTTAAGTTATACTACAGCAGTGTTTTGCAGTTAGTGCTTCTCTAACATTCCTTTTTGATGTGACCAGGTCTAATCTACATGCTGCTTAAACATCTGGTGGACCGGTACAATCTGTTCTATGCTTATCTGCCCACCAAACTGGACAGGAAGATCCACTTCTCGGCTGTCAACCAGTCCCTGGCTGCCCCCATATTGTGTCTCATGTGGCTGTTTTTCTTCTCTCTCCTGCGGATGGGTAAGTGGCATTTTTTGCTTGTGTCACGAAAGTAATCTGCAAACACAGCTGATCAAATGTGATTGCACGTGAATGTTTTAAAGGCACTCTCTCCTGCAGTAAAATATCTACGTAAGAAGTCTCTGAGAGCAAAGACCACTTTCCAGCTACTTGGACAGCTTACTAGTTCCAGACCAGTCACCACACAGTGAAGTAGAACTACAGAAATGCAGAACTTGGTCAACTTCACTGGCCTAGGCATTTTGCTTCAGGATAGAAACACTCTGCACCATTCATATCTAAACAGACAAATCACAATGTAATGGCAAGAAGACAAATACTTATGGTTCATGGAATCTCCTCTGAAAAACACTCCTCAGCACTGTTTCATAGCTGTCCCTGGTGTGGGTAAAGACAGACACAGCATGGTTCCATTGACTACCACTGATGATTAAATAGATGGGAGTGGGGGGCTGGGCACAGGTGACAAATCATTCTGGGTGTTGATTTAAGAGGTAAGCTAGTTTGCATATTAGCAGCCCTCAGAAACTAGAACAAGTTTGAGAATAGTTTATATTTTGAGAATGAAGCAGTGTCAGTATACATTATAGGCACACTTTTTGCATAGATTGGAGTTTATTTTTAATTGTTGCAGATTAAAGCCTACAAAATCAACAGAATGGCATTCATCCATCTATCTATTTGGTTGCCTTTTCATGTAGTTATCCTGAAATTGTCTCCATATAGTAGTTTATCACACCAGTGGTTTGCATAATCATTTCTTTTTGTTCTTTTCAGGTTTGAAAGCCCCTACTCTGTTCACACTCGTCATCCTCCTCCTGACCATTCTGGTGTCCCTCTTATATGCTTGTTTTGGCTGCTTCAAACATCTCAGCCCACACAATTACAAGGTGAGGACATCTTGGGCTGTACTGCAAAAATCAAGACAGTAATGTTGTATATGGGGTTTAGCGTCTTAGCAGGGTATGAAAGAACACCAGTGTGATAGACTCAGGCCCAAAGAAATAGTATTTATTAAAGCAGAACTTCAGACTAATTCCTCCTCCCTCCACTAAGATATGCCACCCCTACATTTCTTTAGCTCAACCAGAGTTCCATGAAACCATAGGCTTCCTCCAAAGGTTGCTAGGGTTTCCTTGAAGTGATACTAAAGGTTCAGATTTTTTTTTTTTTTTTTAATAAAAAAAACATGTATACTTACCTGCTTTGTGCAATGGTTTTGCACAGAACAGCCCCGATCCTCTTCTTCTCAGGTCCCCCGCTGGCGCTCCTGGCTCCTCCTCCCCCGCTCAGTGCCCCCAGAGCAAGCCACTTGTTCTGTGGGCACTCATGCGTACCCACAGAAAAAAAAAATCCCCTGCAAGATAAAGGCATAATGTGCTAGTATGCGTGGTATACGAGCACATTATGTAACGCTTGCCTTAAAACGAAGCCCTCCAGCGGCGCACTGTCACTGCTGTACAGGTTCCATCTTCATCCGGTCTTCCTTCTGGGTTTGCAAGCTCCAGCCGTCTGGCTGGCTGAGTTACGATGATGTCACTCCCGCACATGCGCTCAGGAGTCTCCGAACACAGCACAGCGCTCTGAAGGAACATCACGGGTATGCTGTTCCTTCAGAGTGGATGCGCCGAATGTAAAGAAACCTGAATATCTCCTAAAGCTATATTATAGGCTTACCTTTAAGTAAAAATTTACAAAGTGGCTTTACTACCACTTTAACAAATAAAAGTAATGCAGCCCCTACGTCTAAGGATTGGGAAGCTGCAATTTATAACATTTTTATTTTTAGATTTGGATGTACTTTAACCTTCAGGACTTGGCTGTCATGTCAAACCATATTATTCATAAGAAGTAATTCTCTAAATTTTTGGGGCTTATTTGTATGTGATCCTTGTTTTTTATTTTTGTGTTTTATTCTTTTTTTATTTGTAGATCGTGGAATCACAGATCGGCACAGAGGCCCGGAAGGAAGATGAGGACATTCGCCGGAGGTCACCTGTAAGTCACTAGATATAAGTAGAATGAGTATTTGTACAACAGAGCAACTACCCATTTTGTGTACCATGTTGTTTGGGTAATCCGTAAAGAAAAACTATTACAGCAGAACTCCAGGATTTATCTCTATTGCATACTTACATTGGTCCAACTTGGCACAATGTAAGTATGCATATCTCATACCTGAAAGGCCGTTGGGAAAGGTAAAAATGACTGGATTACTTGTCGTCACCACCATTTATAGAACAACTTGAAATGTTTTCTATGGATACAAGGTGTTCCCTGATTAGACAAGGTGGAGAGGAGGGTCAATGACTTTACAATCCCCACCTCATCTAAAAAAAAAAAATCCATCCTATGAGTGGTGGCAATTCTGAACAAGTGACCCTCTCCTGAGGTCACTGTAGTAGCACCAACTACTGCAGTGATTTATCATCTTCCCCAGAGGTCCATCAGTTATAAGATATGTATACATATATTGTGGAAACTGGTCCAATGTAAGTATGCAAAATAAATCATTTTAGGAGTTCAGCTTTAATATAGGACATACAATTACTAGGCAAGCCATTTTGTAATTTCCGTTTAGGTATAGTTTAGATAGTGTTGTAAATGTTTTTTTTATTGCAGCTGAACTGTAATCCTTAAAATTAAATGCCTTATAAAACATACCATGAGTACTGGTCTAAATCAAAAGATAGCCGGAGAGGTGAGAAAAAAACTACCGACCCCCCCCCCCCTCCCTGCACTCAACAGGCTCAATGCACAAAGGTAACATGCCAGGATAAGGATCCCTATTTTGAAAGAAGTGCCAGTTATTTTTAGTCAAGTCCAATGAAATCTGAAAAATTGAAAATAAGGATCTTTATTCTTGTGCAAAGCTTTGTGAATTGAGCCTAAAAATATATAAAGCATACATCAGTGTTGTCCAAGCTTTGCTGGAAGAGGGCCACATTGGCACAAAAAAAAAGAAGAAAAAGGCATGTTTTCCCTACATTATTATTATTATTATACGGGATTTATATAGCACCAACAGTGCTATATATATATATATGCTATATATATATATATATATATAAATAATATATATATAAAGGGAGACAATACAGCAACAGTAAAGTTCAATACAAGAGGGTTAGGAGGGCCCTGCTCTTCAGAGCTTACAATCTAAGTAGGCAGTTAGTGACATGCTCAGTTCTGTTATGCATGAACATCATGAGTAATGTAGGACATATGTGCAGAGATTTGTAAGAGGTTGATTGTATGCACAGGTATTTTGTTTCAGTGCAATTAATTGTTTGATTTAGTGTTTGATTCTCAATTAACATTTTTGGTCAGTAGGATCAGCTGAAAGTTGAGCAGCGATCAAAACTAATCTGTCAGCCTAAAGTAGAATCTGTGACATTTACAACCTTGTCCTATTGTCTAAATCTTGATAAACTTTTAGTGCAATCGATGGTACATAGCTGGTCACAGGATTTTACATAATTTTGTTTAATTCAATTAGGCCATTTAGCTGCTGCATGTTTCTTAGACATTTTCACGTTACCAGGGAGTTTGTTACTTCATTGCATATTTTATATTTCCATTGCATTGGCTTTTTTGATTAAATGTCATTTCAGATGTATGTCCCTGGTGTATTACTTTCTGTGGATATGGATAAGGAGTCCCACCGAAACTATGGAACCATGGAAGAGTCATCGGCACCCGTCTCTACGGATGACCAGCAACCATTTTTTGCTGAATAACTGAGACCTGATGTAATGATCAGGAATTGCCATGGGAGGGAGACATTGCACCTCTGAATCTATGCCATAGGAAATTATGAGTTCAGAGTTGGAGAAAGATTTCATAAAAGGACTTTGGACTTTGCAGCTCTTCTTGAGCCATTTAGTTCACAAACTGGAAAAGTGTTGGAATGTCTTTAGGATAGGTTATTGCTCCATAAAGAATTTTCGTGAGGACCAGGCTTTGTTGCTCAAGAAGAAGATCTGGAGGAAGCAGTGTTCCAATCGGTCCGTGCACAGTGCCACCTTTTTTTTTTTTTTTTTTTTGTATTAATAGAGACTAGTAACACTTAAATGAGGGATTTTTTTTTTTTTTTTTATTGTATGACCATTTCACCAAACCCACCAAAAACTTAACAGCACAGTTTCAGTTAAGGTCATACAGTATATGGGGGATACTATATATATTTCTTCTGAAATTAACTTCGGTTAGTATTTTTCACGGTGTAATAAATAGACCAATATATTTTAATATTGTTGAAAATATTGGGTATTTGTTCTTGCTTTTAATTTGTTTTCTAGCTACTCAAAGCAGAATTCCAAACCCCCCCTAAAAAAAACCTAATTTTAAAATGAATAGCCTATGAAAGAACAAAAGTAGTTTCTTAACCCCTTGACGCTGACGTAACACAAATATGTGGCCTCACAGATCTGGGCTTTTTCACGTGGGGCCGCATATTTGCGTATATCTGTCTTTGTGCTGGGAGAGCACCACATTGCATGCTCCAAGCACAAAGACCAGGTTGTCACTGAGAGCCCCGGGTCCCATTCTAACGATTGGGACTCGGGAAGCCCGATTCCGGGTCACATGATTGCTGTGATAGCCTCTGATTGGCTACCACAGTGGTCAGTCACTGTACAGCCCAGCCCCCTTGTTTTTTTTTTTTCTCTCTCTATGAGTGGAGGAGAGAGATAAATTGTATCTCTGTAACTCCTGGCATAGAGGGGAAAAAAAGTTTGTTAAAAAGAAAAGATAAATACATATTAAACAATAAAATAAAGAAAAAATACCTAGATCAAGGTTTGATCTAGTTCAGTGCCAGTGTAAGTGTTTGGGTCAGGGTCACAGGTCAGGATTATTATTATTTTTTTTTAAATTGGTATTCGTGTCAGTGTGTTTTAGGTAAACAAAAAACAAAATGTGCATTATTGTTTCTGGGTTGTACTACGGTACAAATAACATACACATATATGGTATCGCTGCGATCGTCAAGAGCTGGAAAATTTATTTTGGGTTGTTTTGTGGTAGGTTATGGTAGTAACAAGAAACGCACAGCTACATTAAAAAAAAAAAGATTTTGTGCCAGTTTTCCTTTGATAATAAAAAAAATCAGGAGATATCCATTACCATTTACCACCAAATGAAAGCCCAATTAACACAAGTCAACATTGCAAAATTGTGCTTAGGCATTAAAATTTGTTTTACCCTTAGGCGTGAAGCGGTTAAATAAAGGGAAGGATTCAAAGGTACAGCAAATCATAAAGTAAAGACATTTTGAGTTGGACTGGAGAAAAAGTAAATTTTGTATAAAAAGGATGCAAGACATAACAATATCAAAGTGCATGAGATTACTTGGGGTTCAGAGAAATGGGGTTCAGATAGGTTTATCAGAACAGTGGTAGTAAAGAGCTAGGAAAGGTTTCTTCCATAAGTAATAATATTGCAAAAGCTTTTGGTGCAATATTCACGGTCAGTCCAGGGATTTCCCTCACAGTATTTTTTTTTTTCTGCTGCTAGATGTCCTCAGTCTGTTGGCCAGAATAATTTGACCTAATTCCTCTGAGCTCAGATCATCCTTGACTTGCCCAAAGCTTGTGACTGGACAGTGAAAGGAGAAGCAAAACAGTGATCTGTCGCTCTGCTGGCTTCTATCAGCATGCCTCTTGTCAGCACACATGAACTGATTGGCTCTTTGTGCTGCTTCTTCTCACACTCCAGCTCTGCTGTACAGGGACTGCAAGAGCCTGATACCAGGACAAATTCAGGTACTTTAACTACATTTATGGCCGTGCACACAGGGCGTATGAATCCATATACCGCGTGAGGCTCATGTTTACCTGCATAGGAATGCACATGTGTTCTGTGCATCCCCCGGAAGATAGTCCCATTGCTGTCAGTTGGGATGAGGTGGCTGCACGGACACCGCTTCTGCCCCCAGTGTATCATCCATGCCGGTGCACAACTCCGTACAGGTGTGTTCAGGGGTGTGTACCCGCACGGATACCTGTGTATCCCCGTGTGGTACAGATCAATACACCCCATGTGAATGAGGCCTGATGTTGTATTCATTTTTAGAGAGGTTCATTAGTTTCTGCCTTTTAACATCTGTCTGGGGTTCAGCTTTGAAGAAGTTTGATCAAAAATTAATAATCGTTAAAAAAAAATCATAACCTAATAAACCGTGACATCCAACACTCCTGGATGTGTTGAATGCTGAAATGTCTTATGGAGGCTGCAGTCCAGTAATGGAGGAAAAGTAGGAGACACAGGCTGCTGGACAGAGTACATGGGTGGCTAATCCAATGATATGTAACAACTCATACACCTCTGCTGGTGTGTGCATAAAATATCACCGATCATGACAAAATATACACTGGGGTTGATTTGCAAAAGGAATGGGCACTGTTAACTTAGTAAAGTGTATGTTCACTCTGCAGAGTGACCGTAAATACAGTGAGCCTGTGTTCACCCAATGATGGGGGGGGGGGGGGGGGGGGGGTAAAAACAAAGAAGTTTTTGTTGCTAGGATATCATTGTATATATATATATATTTTTTTTTTGTACTAGGTTCCGTGAACATTTCCATTGCAGACAGCCTTCACTCCTTTTTAGAAAATGAATCCCAATGTTTGGGCCTGACCAAGGACAAAGAATGGCTTAGTAAAGGACACTTGCACTGTCAGGAAGCAGTGGTCTCTCAGCAGATGTCTGACACAAACCTGCTGAGTCACAGGTAGTGCTTTCCAATCAGCCAAATACATAAGCTTTGCTGATTGCAGAGCTATAGATCTTAGAAGGGGCATGCTGGGACCTCTGCAAAGAGATCACTGCTTCCATACAGAGCACAAGGGTCTTTCTTACAATATTCTGGTAGAGAAGAGGTGGTTCTACTCAGTCGGAGGATGCTTTTTAACACGTTTTGATGTACCTGAAATGTATTTAGCTTCTGTAAACTGAATGTTCAATTAGATTTCTACAACCATGCATGGGCAGACCTAAACCTGAGAACCATGGGCAAGAAGATACAGCCATTGCCAAAAATATTGGCACCCCTGCATTTGTGTCAGATAATGCACCACTTCACCCAGAAAATTGTTGCAATTACAAATGTTTAGACATTCTCATGATTATTTCTTTTGTTTGTATTATTGGTATGAAACAAAAAAGTGGAGAAACAAAAAGCCAAATCTGACACATTCCATGCAAAACCCCAAAGTGGACTGGACAAAATTATTGGCACCCTCAAATTACTAATTGGTAGCACACCCCTTGGAAAAAAAAAACTGAAATCAATCACTTCCTGTAACCATCAATGAGTTTCTTACACCTCTCTACTGGAATTTAGGACCACTCTTCTTTTGCCAACTGCTTCAGGTCTCTCAGGTTGGAAGGGTTCTTTTTCCCAACTGCTGTTTTGAGATCTCTCCACAGGTGCTCTATGGGATTGAGATCTGGACTCATTGCTGGCCAGTTCAGTACTCTCCAGCGCTTTGTCTTAAATCTTTTCTGGGTGCTTTTTGATGTGTGATTTGGGTTATTGTCCTGCTGTAAGACCCATGACCTCTGACAGAGACCCAACTTTCTGACACTGGGCCCTACATTGCACCCCAGAAATCATTGGTAGTCTTCAGATTTCATAATGCCATGCCACACGGTCAAGACATCCAGTGTCTGATGCAGCAAAGCAACCCCAAAACATCAGTGAACCTCCACCATGTTTGACTGTAGGGACTGTATTCTTTTCTTTAAAGGCCTCGTTGCTTTTTCTGAAAACCATAGAATGATGGGCTTTACCAAAAAGCTGCAATTTTGTTTAGTCTAGCCACAGTACATTCTCCCAAAAGCATTTTGGCTTCCTCTGGTTAGTTTTGGCAAACTCCAATCTGACTTTGTTTGTATCAGCAGTGGTGTCCTCCTGAGGCTCCTATCATAGCATCCCTTTTCATTCAGATTGTAACGTGTAGTGCGAGCTGACACTGTTGTACCCTATGCCTGAAGGTCTGCTTGAATTTGACTAGAAGTTGATCGAGGTTCTTTATCCACCATTCGAACAATCCTTTGTTGCAATCTTTGATCAAATTTTCTCTTTCATCTACATCCAGGGAGATTAGCTACAATGCCATGGGCTATAAACTTCCTGACAATGTTGTGTACAGTGGACACAGAAACATTAAGGAACATTTGTAGGGGTTTGCGTTGAATGTGTCAGATCTGGCTTTTTGTTTCTCCACTTTTTTGTTTCATATCCATACAAACAAAAACAAAATAAACATGAGAATGCCTAATCATTTGTAATTGCAACAATTTTCTGGGTGAAGTGATGCATTATCTGACAGAAATGTAGGGGTGCCAATATTTTGGCTATGACTGTATATGAAGTCCCGAAACCAATAGCTTTTAGCCCTGGTGCTCTTGTTGATTGGCGAAAAGGAAGAAAAACATTAAAAAAATTAACAAAATAACAAATAATAGACTTGAAAGACACACAAAAGATACAACACAGTGCAATATTATAAAGTAGATCAAAATACAGTATAAAAACTAACCATACTAAATGCTTCATTATTAATAACAGAGGTTCATTTTTCAAGAAAGAAACCTGAATAGAAATGTTATTCCTCATCTGAGATCAGCAGTATTATGTTCATAAACCAAGAATGTTTCTCTTTATAATAAAAGAGGGAGAGACAGGTAATATGTAATTTTATTACAAAGGGAAATGTTCTGGAATTACACACTC